TTGGGTTGGGATGTTTTCGTGATGCACCTTTTCTTTACATAAAACTCTCTCTTATACGTGAGTTGCCATGGATTTGTTTCTCCAAAGTACCCAGACTAATACACAGGTTAACTGGTTTCACCACTCAGAAACTCTTTCAGAATAACAACAGAATGTGTGTGTGTGTGTGTGTGTGTGTGTGTGTGTGTGTGTGTGTGTGAATATATAATGTCACAAGGAGCCCTGGTGGTACAATGGTTAAGAGCTTGGCCAATATCTAAAAGGTTAGCAGTTCAAACCCACTCAGTGGCTCAGCAGAAGAAAGATTTGACCATCTGTTTCTGTAAAGACCAGAGCCCTGAAAACCCAGTGGGTCAGGGTCTCTCTGTCACATGGGGTGGCTGTGAGTTAAGACCAGCTCACAGCCCCAACAGCACACGAACCAAACCTAAAACGCTTGCTTCCAGCAAAGTTGATTCTGAGTCACAGCAACCTGACAGGACAACACCGCAGCATTGCGCCTTCGGGTTTCAAGACTTTAAATATTTACAGGAGTCTTTCTCCTGAGAAGTACGCTGGTGGGTTTGAACCCCCAACCTTGTGGTTAAAAGCCCAATACATAGCCCACCAGGGCTCCTTATCAGGGAGCTTAAAAGAACTCATTGAATAATTCCATCTTTTTTAAAAAAATTAAAAGATCATTTTATTGGGGGCTCTTATAACTATCATTACAATCCATACATCAATTGTATCTGGCAGATTTGTACATATGTTGCTATCATTCTTTTCTAGACATTTACTTTCTATTAAGCCCTTGGTATCAGCTCTTCTTCCCCCCGCCCCTCACCCTTGTGACTCCTTGATAGATTATAAATTATTATTGTTTCATATCTCACACCGACCATTGTCTCCATTCCCCCATGGTTTCTGCCATTCGTCCCCCACGGGGGTGGGAGGGGTGGGGGGGGCACCAAGAAAGGAGAGGGGCCCGGGGGGCTGCCCAGCAGAAGCATCAGGTACCACCACCAGAGGAAAAGCGGTGCAGGATCAGGAAAGAGGATTCCAGCCTGAGGACACTGTACATACAGAGGCAGGAGGCTGGTGAGTGCAGCAGGCAGTGTTCAAGGTATGGGGGCAGCGTTACGTTCTCCCAAGAAGGGCCCGTAGGAGCGAGGAGAGGGAGAGTGGCATCAGACGGGGCTGCGAGGTCAAGCAAGGGCCTCCCATGACACGCCCAAGAGGCTGGTACCCGACTCAAAACCCAGCCCCACTACCTTACGGCTCTAAGACTTTGGGCAATTTTACTCCTTTCTCTTATGATCGGGCTCTTCTTTGGTAATGGGGCTAGCAGGGGTAAGCATGTCTCTGGCCTCCTGGGAAATTTAAAAGACACAGGGTCTAGCACGTACCAAACACCCAGCAGATGCCAGCTTTTTCCTTTTTTATCAGCCAGTACTGAAGGCAGCAAGGTATAGGGCATTTGAGAATGACTTCATATCAACCGCTTCCCCTTGACATGAGCCCCTGCATCTCAAGCTCCTATATCTTGGTCAGGATCCCCCTTCCCTCTCTGTCTAGAGCCCATTTCCCCACAGCAAGGACTTGAGCCTTTCCCCAGGGAGCCAGGACTCCGTGCTAGGCACACGCACAATAGTGAGGGCTTGTTCACCATGGGGAGCAAGAGGGGCTGAAGTAAGGCCCGGTGTCCCGAGGACGGTGTCTCGAGGACAACTAAGGAATCACGCCTTCAGAAACTACGTGTTGAGTTGGCCCCTGGTAAGCCACCCAGAGCCAGGGGCTGCAAGTGAAATGGTGACACGGTCCAACAAGGGCTCTACCCTTGCCCAGCCCCACTCCAGCAATGCACAGGGAGACAGACGATGCACAGCCGAACCCGCAAGAGGATGGCAGGTGGGCATGGGCCAGTTGAAGAGCCAGGGAATGTCATGCTCAGGCAACAGCAAGTACAGAGTCCCTGGTGGGGGTGGAGGTGGGGGGTGGGGGGGAGTGGCCAAAATGGTCCTTAGGCGATGAGGCAGGAGAGGTGGGCAGAAGGCATGTCCCACAAGGATGGAGACCCCGGCCCCAAGGCCAGGCTTTAGTCTGATTGCAATGGAAAATTTTAGAAGGACATGAAGTGATTCACGAAACCAGACCATGAGCATCTTGAGTATAAAGACGTGTTTCCTTTACCCCACAGTGCTGAAATGAAGTTTGGTAACTGCCACTCAGCAAGTGGGTGTAGACAAGACAGGGAGGGTTAGAAAAGGGGGACCCTCCCACCAAGGGACCCTTAAGTATATATTCCAGAGCCTAGACTACAATACATTCTCACCCAGGAGTCAGTCATTAGTCCACACGAAAGCAACAGTGGAAACAACAGGAGGGGAAGTTCACTCTGATAAGCTCAGTAACTCACATGGACCAGACATCAATTTTGGGGCCGTATTTCTTCCGGGCCAGCAGTTCGGGCGCAGCGTAGGCGGGGCTGCCACACTGCGTGCTGAACGGGTCCGAGTAACCCAGGATCCCCGCACAGTTGCTCAAGCCAAAGTCTGCAGAAAGGGGAGGACAAAATGGGCTCTGAATTAGACAATGTGGAAATGAAGAGGAGGGCATTAAACAAAAAAAGGCAAAACAAAGCACAGACCGCAGGAAAGGAAACATGCGCTCAGGCTCCCCCACTATTTCACATCCAAAGAAAAGCCAAGGCAGCAGCTGCAAACCATAACCCCTGGATATGAGTCTCACGACTTAAGGGGGGACGTGAGGTGTCTGCTTCCTGGCTTGGCTGGACACACGACACAGCAGACCCCACGGTCAAACTCGGCGAGAGCGCCAAGTGTGCTGAGCCAATGCTCATTTCCATCAAGTTTGCAAACGAGTCATCCAGGAGCAGAGGAGGCTCAGCTTTCGAGCACTAAGGCAGAGAGAAAAAGCGTGCTGGACGGTGCAGACCCAGCATCGGCTTCCAAATGGCCTCATGGGGAGGGGAGCTAAAGGAACACTGATCTTCCGGGGCTGGTGTCCCTGTCGCCCTCGGTGGCGTGTGACCCAGCCACTTTGTGCAAGTCTCTTGAATATATCCCCCAATCCACTGAGCCCGTGGGGTGCTTTGAACAAATACCTAATCAGTCCCTTGTAGCTGTCAAGTCCATTCGGACCGGGCCCTGTGTTATTGAGGGGAACGGCCCTCTGGGTGGCTTTCTTGGTAGATGGGGAGGATCTTTCAAGAAGCAGACAGACAGGCTTATCCTCCATGATGCCCTTGGGAGGGGGCTTTGAACCACTAACCTTGACGTTAATAGAGTGCATAAGTCGTCTGCACCAGCCAGGCACCTTCCCAACACTTCAGTGTGGAAAAACTAACTCTGCAAAGATGCAATGGGAGTGACGCTTCATGACCTGGGGCCACCGCTTTCTTCTGGGCGGGTTAAGGCCACTGGAAAGAAGAAAAGCCCAAGGCATCTCAGGCTACTCGGGTGCCCGGGGCCCTCTGTGACCCGGTTCCCTGTGATCGGAGATGCCACAGCTCATTACGGAGGGGACAGTGTGATACGCCCTTATGGGGGGTCCTCCTCCTCCCTCTTTGACATAAGACTGAGCCTCATCCTTTGAACTTTAATGTAAGCATTATGGTGCTGCATCCCCAAACAGAAGTCAGGGAGGGGGCCGTGGCCAGAGACTGCCTGCTAGTCTTGAACAAAAAACACCCCACAGTTTTGTTCTCTTTTCTCCTGCACTCTAACATGTCTGAACTTGCAAAATGCACTACTCGTCAAAACAAATCTGCTCGTTTATGCTTTAAGAAAGCTCAGAAAAGGGATGACACGGGACTGGGTGAAGTTTTGTGTCAGAAGTCATTCACACGGCATGGACCAAGATGCCATGCCAGGAAAAAAAATCCTCCCAATAATCTGTGGGCTACGCTGCGTCATGAAATAACTGCTCTAACATTGGGCCCCATTCAAGCAGAGCTCCAAAAACGCTCTGCAACTTGGCTCACTCACTCACTGCCACAGAGTCAATTCTGACTGATAGCAACCCTATAGGATACAGCGTCGAACTGACCCCCGTGGGTTTCTGAAACTGTACATCTGTCTGGGAGTAGTCTCATCTTTCTCCTGGTGAGTGGCTGGCGACTTCAAACTACAGCCACCATGTCACCCAGTACGCCACGAGGCATCACAACTCCCAACCAGCCTCACTGCTTCCAAGTCCATCCTGGCTCATCGCAACCCGATGGAATAGGGTAGAGGTGTCCCTCTGGGTTTCCAAGACCCTAACTCCTCACGGGAGTAGAACGCATCCTCTTTCTCCCTGAGAGCAGGCCCCTGGTTCCACACTGTTGACCTGGCGGTCAGCAGCCCAACTCGGAAGCACTATGGCACCAAGGCTCCTTAGGACCGATCACTGTGAAATCTTCAGCGCTGGCTCCCTGGAGCATCACAAGTACCACCAACGGGGCTGGCCAACCAGCTACGGCTGCTGGGTCCTCAACATCAACTCCTTCCTTTGTTGTAATTCTGTTGTTAAACATTTTATTGTGGGCAAATATAGGTCACAAATCACTGGCCATTTTAATCCTGTTGAGATGTACAATTCATAAGGGAGCCCTGGTGGTGTGGTTATGCCCTGGGCTGCGAGCCGCATGGTCAGCAGTTTGAAAGCACCAGCAGGTACTCGGGGCTTTCTACTCCCATCAACAGTGACAGTCTCAGAAACCCATGGGGTGGGGGGGGGGCGGCTCTATGAGTCAGCATTAGGCTTTCTACTCCCATCAACAGTGACAGTCTCAGAAACCCATGGGGGGCGGGGGGCGCTATGAGTCAGCATTAACTCGATGGCAGTGAATTTCTATGCAAAATTCAATCAGCACTCCCATCCCTTTACAAATGTCTGTCGTTGCCGTGGTGACGCAGTGGTTAAGCACTCGCCTGGCAACCCAGAGATGGATGGTTAGAACCCATAACCATTCCCCAAGAGGAAAAAACTGGCCATCTGCTCCCCTAAAAGATTCCTGGTTGCCACAAGCTGATTCTGACTCACCAGGACCTTAAAAGATGGAGTGGAACTGCCCCAGAGTTTTCAAGACTACACCGCGATGGGAGCAGATGGCCCCAGCTTTCTTTCTCCCTCACTGTTGCTGGTAAGTTTGAACCCGCCAACCTGTGGGTTAGAAGCTGGCACTCAATCATTGAGCCACCAAGCTTCCCCGTTAAGGCTTCCAGTCTAGGAAACCCCATGAGGCAGTTCTACTCTGTCAGACAGACTCCTGAGGAGTATGAATTGAACTGACAGCACACAGCACCAACCACATGGAGAGCCAGCAAGTTAGCTGGAATAAAGATTATATTATTGGGGGCAATGTTTTAAGGAAAACGTCATAAAAAGTCATGTTTTAGGTTCAATCTCAGAGGAGTTCCAGAAGATTCTTAGACTAAAGCAAAAGGCTCCATTCCTCAGCTCAGTGGGGCTCCCATTAACAGGTTAACTCAGTTCCTTCCTCAACGCCCAGACTTGCCTATGAAGATGCCCTCCTTGGCTCATTAGAAGAAGAGATACAGGGGCCAGGGATGGCCCCTGCTTCCAGGCAAATCGGAGTCTCCTCTTATCTTAAGTGCAGTTTACAGAAGATAAATTAGGGGAAGGCTTAGAGAGTGGAGGAGATAAAAAGCTGCATTTTAACTAGCTTATGTTGACCTAGCCAAGGGGCTTAATTTAAAAATATATTGCAGAGAAAGAGTCTGTTTCACATTCATAAGTGTAATTATTAAAATTCTTCAGGCACACACACATGCCTATAATTAGCACTATGAGACTAGCAAGAAGTTTGCCTCCCAGAAATGTCATGGATCTGCCTCAATTAGATTTGGTAAATATCTAAACCAATTATTACTCCATTTTCTTGAGAACTGAAAAATGAATCTCAAACAAATAAATAAATAAAAAGGCTCAAGTGAATACTGCTTTGAGATAATAAATTTAAAAGGGAAAAAAGTGTTCAGTTGTAGTTGATATATTCTAAGATACTAAACTATCAAACATCAGACTTTTTTTTTTTTTTGGAAAGGGATGGGGTATAAAAAAAAATCCCGATTAAATCAAATCTTACTCCTGGTTATTCTAGTTCATTTGAAACGTGACTTATGAAGATTTATTGGAATAAAATTCTTTCAAAGAGAGAAACTCAAGAGGAAATGATAATAGCTATAATCATCCTTTGAAAAACAACTAGGTAATTCCTTTGAAGGAAAGATTCAAAGTACTTTCAAGTTAGGAAAAGACTGGAGTGAGGATGTTTGATCCAAATTGCTCAGCCCACGGGCAAGAAAACCCACAAGACACAAAGTCCGCCTTCCCTCTGGTACCTCCTCAGTCCACCCCCAGAGAAAAAAACAGGGAGCACAGATTCTACACAAAACACCATTCCCGGCTTCCCTCTGGAAAAGCATAATGTCTCTTTCAACTACAGGTCAGAGTTAGGGCTCTTGAGTTGGAGCCGGGCTGAGCGAATTGGGAGCTTAGTGAAAAGTACATTCTAGTAAATCCACAGAGCCCTAGTGCAGATAGCGGGTTATGCATTGGGCTGCTAACTATAGGGCCAGCAGTTCAAAACCTCCAGCTCCTCTGTGGGAGAAAGATGAGGTTTTCTATTTCTATAAAACACTACAGTCCCTGGAAACCCACAGGGCAGTTCTCTCCTGACCGACAGGATCTCCCTGAGTTGGAATCGACTTAAGAGCAGTGAGTTTTTGAGTCTGAGCAAACCCCTTGTCATCGAGCTGATGCTGAACAAACGGTTCAGACTCCCCAGGCGAGTGTGCAGAGAAGCTTTTGTCTGAATAACTCAAAGGGCACATGAGAAATATTCATTCAAGGCTTTGAAATTCACCTCCTTAATTAAATTTACACATTTGTTATTATTCATTTTCATTTTCAAAACCGTCATTCAGGGTCAGAAGTAAATGAGAAGGACTGGCTGGGGAGCTAAGAAATGCATCACGGATAGTTCCCCCAATCAGAGTCCCCCAAACAAATAGTTTTGAGAGTTGACAGCATAACACCTAAAGAATAGTCTTGTTTTAAAAACAAACAAAAAGCCATACCTATCAGCTTGATATTATTGTCTTCATCTAGCAGCAAATTTTCTATCTTCAAGTCCCTGAAACAAACGAAACAGCAGTATTTCAGATAAGCATTTAAAATAGCAAGGCAGCATTTGACTGAAGAGAAATGAATGGTTTTCCCAGGATCACTTTGAACCTACCCACACAGCATGCTGGGGACGCTCATTCGATCAGGAAGTAAATATATATATATATCAGGCATGAGATAATGAATATCACTGACAATAATGATAAAGTGTTTCACAGGAGGCTGAGAACAAGGCAAAAGACATCAGGAACAGTTTCGGAAAGTAGGGCCTAAACTGGATCTTGCAGATGAAACAGAACTAAGGTTGCATGAACAGATCAAGGGCAGACTGCATGGTTCAAATCAGAAAGGTGTGCATCGGGGTTGTATCCGCTCCCCACACGGATTCGCTCTGTATGCCGAGCAAATCATCAGAGAAGCTGGATTATATGAAGAGAGTGAGGCATCAGGATTGGAGGCAGGCTTATAAACAACCTGCACTGTGCAGATGACACAACCTTGCTTGCTGAAAATGAGGAAGACTTGAAGCACTTGTGCTTGTTTGTTTTATAAATCATTTTATTGGGGCTCTTATACCATTCCATACATTAATTGTATCCAGCATATTTGCACATAGGCTGCCATCATCATTTCCTAAACATTACAGTGAACCCTCGTTTATCGCGGTTAATCGGTTCTAGACCCTACCATGATAAATGAAATTCCTCGAAGTAGGATTCCTTATTTGTAAATCAAATATTTTCGTAGTTAGAGCATAGAGGACATGAAAAAACACCCTTTAGTCACCATTACACTCGTATTACCCAATTTATTAAATGAAAAAGGGAAAATACAGTAAAACATTTTGGACGTTACAATTATCATTTATTATTTATTATATTATTTATGGCATCAAGCATGTACAGTATGAGCCAATCAGTGGCAGTAATGACAGAGCATGCGCTGTTACGCAAAAACCACGATAGAGTGAAGCCGCGGAAGTCGAAGCGCGAAGTGGCGAGGGTTCACTGTACTTTCTATTTGAGTCCTTGGTATCAGCTCCTCTTTTTCCCCTCCCTCTCCACCCCCACCCCCGTGACCCCTTGATAAATGATAAATTGTTGTCATATCTTACACTAACCACTGTCTCCCTTTAGCCACGTTTCTGTTGTTCATCTCCAGGGCAGGGGGAGTGTTATGCGGCAATCATTGTGATTGGTTCCCCGCTTCCTCCCCTACTCCCCCCACCTTCCCCCCTACACTCCTGGTATCGCTACTCCCATTTCTGTTCCTGAGGGGTTTATCTGACCTGGATTCCATGTGTCATGAGCTCTTATCTGTACCAGTGTAGTGCATGCTCCAGTCTAGCCAGAACTGAAACACAGGACTGAGGTCATGATAGGTGGGGGGTGAGGAAGCCTCAAAGAACCAGAGAAATAGTGTGTTTCACTGGTGCTATACTGCACCTTGGTTGACTCATCCCTTCCTTGTGACCCTTCTGTGAGGGGATGTCCTACTGTCTACAGATGGGTTTGGGGTTTCTGCTCCAACCACACCTCTTTCTCAACAATAGGTTTTTGTTTTGGGTCTTCTGGTGCCTGTTACCTAATCCATCGACACTTCATGATCACACAGGCTGATGTGCTTCTTCCATGTGGGGTTGTTGCTTCTCGACTAGATGGCTGCTTATTTAACTTCAAGCTTCTAAGACCCCATGTGCTATATCTATTGATAGCTGGGCCCCATCAGCTTTCTTCACATTTGTTTATGCACCCACTTTGTCTTTAGCGATCTTGATGGGAGGCTGAGCATCACAGAATGCCAAGTTGGTAAAACAAAGTGCTCTTACAATGAGAGAGGGTTTAAGCAGAGGTCCAAAGTCCACCCACTTCCTCAATGTATTGCCATATAAGTATATGTATATAGGCCAATACCTCTGTTTTTATGAATCAATATATTTACATGAGTGCACACCTATGCTTATATCTCTATCTATAGCTTTGCTTCCTAAATCTTTACTCTGCTTCCTTTTACCTTCCTCCTGCCCCACCATCATGCTTGCCCTTCTTCTGCCACATAGTAATTCCTCTCTGCTAGACTGCTATTGCTCCAACACCACCGGGATCTCTACGTCCTCCTCCTTGTTGATCTTAATTCCCTAGTTGTTGCTTTGTCTATGGCACTGTTTGCTCACCACTCCTTTCCCCTGCCATCTCCTCCCCTTAAGTCCCTCCGGAACCTTCGGTCCACTTCCCATGCCTATCTTATATAGGTAAGCAAAACAACAATAACAGAGACAAAACAAAAAGAAAACAAGAGATTGAATAAGATGAAAAAAAACAAAAGAAGAAAAAAAAGCATACAAAATTCCAGGCCTGTCCACTGACCTGTATGACTATCTATCTCCCCACCAGTCCTCGGGAGTTCCAGGAACTGCCCTGAAGCCTATTTTGGGGCCTCCTCAGGGGTTTTGTAGCTTTGATTTGCTCCCATTGCTGATCTGTTATGTTCCCTTCTTGGTTCACTCCACCGTGGGGTTGGTCAGACCGGACTCATTCCCCACCAAGTGTCCTCAGTACTGTCCTCTGTCGAGGTATGTTGAAGCACAGGTTGAGGAAGATCAAGGATTGCAGCCTTCAGTGTGGATTATGACTCAGTATAAAGAACACCTAAATCCTCACATCTGGACCAATAGGTAACATCGCGATAAATGGAGGGTTGACGTTGTCAAGGATTTTTGTCTTGCTTGGATCCACAATCAATGATCATGGAAGCAGCAGTCCAGAGATTAAACACTGCATTGCATTGGCTAAACTGACTTTACAAGACCTCTTTAGTGTTGAAAAGCAAGGGGGCTACTTTAAGGAGCAAGGTGTGCCTAACCCAAGCCATGGTATTTTCCATTGCCTCATGTGCATGTGAGAACTGAACATGGAATGAGGAAGAATGAAGAAGAAGGAACAAATTGTGGTGCTGGAGAAGAACACTGAAAGTGCACGGACTGCTAAGACAACAAACAAATGTGCCATAGCGCTCCTTAGAGGCAAGGATGGCAAGAATTGGTCTTACATGCTTTGGACATGCTGTCGGGAGAGACCAGTCCGGAGAAGCACACTGTTTGGTAAAGCAGAGGGGCAGTGAAGGAGAGGAGGGCCCTCGGGGAGGCGGGTTGACACAGTGGCTACAACAATGGGCTCAAACACAGGAACAGTTGCGAGGATGGTGCCGGGCTGGGTGACGTTTCCTGTAGTTGTGCACGGGGTCTCTAGGAGTTAGAATCGACTATCGGCCGACAACAACAACAATGGCAACAGCTGAGTTTTCCTGGCTCTCATCTTCATAGAAACAGATCTTCCGAGCTACTGGACAGATTCGAACTGTTAGGGAAAGGTACCGGGAAGGCTGGGAAATTCCACTGTAATGCACCCTAAGAACAAGGGCAGTCAAAGAGTTCCATTGATAACCTGTAGTAAAACTTACTAATTCTAGGACCCTGCAATTAGAGAACTCCCTCCCATCTTGACCATGTGCGGCGTGGAAAGAAATGACCTAAAGAATCCTCGTTACTAATTGTCATAATAAAAATAATAATAAAAATCATAAATAAATATATAAATAAAATCACATAATAAAAATCACAACCACTGGTGCCATGACTTTGGCCAGCAGTTCTCAACCTGTGGGTCATGACCCCTTTGGGGGTCAAACGATCCTTTCACAGAGGTTGCCTGACTCATAACAGTAGCAACATTACAGTTACAAAGTAGCAATGAAAATAATGTTATGGTTTGGTGGTCACCACAACATGAGGACCTGTATGAAGGGGTCGCGGCATTAGGAAGGTGGAGAACCACTCACCTAGGCGATCACCATGATACTTCCGACCTGATCAAATGAAGGAAAGGGAGGGATGGGCCTCAAACTTATCAGAAATTCCCTCCACCTCCCCACAACAGTGGTGGCTACTCCTCCCCTTAGTCATCATGCATTTGTAATAGTGAAATAAAGATCTCTGCACTGCACCTCCCTGGATCATCTCCCTTCCTCCTTCGAAAGGAACTTCCACTTGGAAATCCTTGCTAGGCTAGTGAAACGCTGGGTCTGTGAGACACTCTTCTGCCACCGACTCTCCAATTCTTCAGGAAGAAGTGGAGCGGGAAGCCAGGGACATCCGGAGAGGATAACAAAACTGTCAACCTTTCACAGCAGCCTGGCGCTTTACTGTTTCCACCACCAGCGTGCCTTATGCAAATTAACTACCTAATCAATCAATTAATTGTGTGCAGGCATACATTTTTTAGATATAAATAAATATGGTGTTATTCTGAATTACCCATATCTATGAGCTCTGGTGGCACCAGAGTGAAGCACTAGGCTGCTAACGGAAAGGCTGGCAGTTCAAAATCACCAGCATGGCAGAAAGGGCCCGGGGCTCTGCTCTCATGAACATGACAGCCCCGCAACCCGCATGAGGCAGTTCTGCTCTGTCCTCTTGGGGCGCTATGGGTTGCACCCCACAGCACACAGCTGAGTGTCTACTTCGATCGATGGATAGATGGGCTTCAAAAAGTTTTGGGGAAAGTTCCATTATTGCTTAATTTCGTTTTTCCGTGAACTTTTTGAAATGCCTTCATATTTGGCATTCCCTTGTTCCGTTCACACAACTGCCTCTTGATCCAAGTACAAGTAGCTCATGGGCACAAAGCAGTGTTCTGGAATTCCCATTCCTCTCAAGGTTATCCATAGTCTGTGCCCATCCACACAGTCGAATGCCGTGGATGAAGAAGAATACTGGAAGTACCTAGGGCTGCTGAAAGGACAAACAATCTGTCTTGGAAGTAGGACAGCCAGAGCGCTCCTTGAAGGCAAGAATGGCAGGACGTCATCGTCAGGAGAGACTAGTCCCTGGAGACGGGTACCATGTTTGGGAAAGGAGACCAAACTCGCTGCCATAAAGCCAAGGCTGACTCGTAGCGACGTCCTGTGGGTTTCCGAACCTGTAACTGTTTACAGGAGTGGAAAGCCCAG